AAGTCTGCCATATATTTGGGGGAGACGGCTTGAGAGAAATCCTTCTGTTTCCCATAGGGGAGAGAGAGGCTAACCCACAGGAAGTTCACCCAACAGCATAATTTCCAGAGAGACAAAGACCACCTGAGCGAGCAGGAGAACAAGAGCCCTTCCTTAGACAGGGCACCTTGAATCTGAACTCCGGTCTCCCCGCAGCCGGACCACAGTGGCCACTGTCACGTCTGTTTGTTCGGATTCACTCACTCAGTGCCATTGGGTTGATTCTGACTCAGTGATTCTGCAGCACAGAGAAGCCCCCTCCCATACACACACTCACACACAGTGGGTCTCTGAGACTGTACATCTTTATATCCCGTTTCCCCGAAAGTAAGACAAACCCCGAAAATAAGACCTACTTAGTTTTGCCTCTCATTGAAATATAAGGCACCCCCCCAAAAAAAAACAAGGCCCCCCGAAGCTACCGTAACTCTGGACTTCAGCAGCGGGCACCACCGCACAGCTCACTGTTGGCCACAGCAGAGCCGGATCAGACAGGAAGTGTGAGGTCTCTTTTAACTAAACAATAAATGTGTACCATATACCTTTTCTTGGAAAAATAAGACATCCCCTGAAAATAAGACCTAGTGTATCTTTGGGAGCAAAAATTAATAAGACACGGTCTTATTTTCGGGGAAACAGGGTAGGAGCAGAGAGCCTTGTCTTCCTCCTTTGGAGCTGGTGGTTTTGAACAGCTGACCTTGCGGTGAGCAACCCAAGGCGTAACCAACCGGCTCTGGCGCTTGGGCTCTTTAAGACAAGCTGGAGGCTGATTCTCCTTGAGAAGAGAGGCTTCCCCAAGCCAGGGCTGGGCTGCTTCACCCGCGCCTCGCCTTCCACAGGGTGGACAGCTGTGGGCTCACAGCTCAAGCGGGTGAAGACCTGTCTTCCGCCCTGGCAGCCAACCAGACGCTCACCGAGCTCTACCTCACCAACAACGCCCTGAGGGACGCCGGCGTCCAGCTGCTGTGCCACAGGCTGAGCCACCCGGGCTGCAAGCTTCGCGTCCTGTGGTGAGAAGGTTCCTGGTTCACACACACACACACACACACACACCACCACCCGGGTGATACTTTCCACAGTTCACCAGCACCACAGTTCACATGCGTCTATGGTAGTGACCCCACAGTTCAAACGCTTTGACAGCAAAGACCCTACTAGACTGAGGGAAACTGCACTGGGAGGTGTCCCAGGCTGAATGCTAACACGAGCCAGCCTCCTCTATGTCCCTGAGAGCAGGTGGTGGCTTTGAACCACAGACTTGTCAGTTCGCACATGAGTGCTTCGCCACCAGACCTCCTTCCCCATTCCACCAAGGAGCAAACGTGCCAGAATCATGGCAATTACGTTGATTCTGACTCCTGGCAGTTGAATAGATTCTGAACTACGGAAAAGGTCTGTAGTTCAAATCCACGAGCTGTTCCCTGGGAGAGGCGGCTTTCTACTCCCACCACCAGTTAGTCTCAGAGCCCCCCAGGAGTCATTCTACCTTGCCCTATAGGGTTGTTATGAGGTCAAATGGGCTGGAGATTGGAGATTTGAGAGAGCCCTGTGGGACTCTGAGGCTGTAAGCCTTTGTGGGACCATAAAGCCTCATCTTTCTCCCTGGGACCAGACGTGGGTTTCAATGGAGGGCTATGTATTCAGTGAAGAGCTGAGTGCTTAGCAACTGTTGCAACACCACGGCTCATTTTAGACAGGAACCAAAACTCGGGAAGGACGGAGAGCTCCTCGCCTTTTCTGCAGTAGCTGAAGCAGGGGGGCCATCCCAGAGCAAGTAGATAAAGCAAGCCTGAGAAGGGTGGGTTGAGTGTGGAAACTGAGGGCTGGGGACCAGTGGGGAGGTGACACTGAACTTGGGGCTGGGAGGCTCAAAGCAGTCCTGAGCAGGAGGGGCAGTTAATCGGGGAGCTCTAGGGTGGGTTTGCGGTCTTCTTTGGTAAGCTCTTGCATAACGCCCAGCTGTCTAGGGTCAGCACCTATTGTAATCATTATGTACTGGGCTGCCGAAGGTCAGGAGTTTGAAACCACAGGCAGGTTGCTGTGTGGGAAAAGGCCAAGGTTTCTTCCCATCATCAGGATCAGAAACTCGTGGTGGACAGCAATACCCTGTTCTATCGTCTAGCTGTGAGCTGGCATCCAGTCCATGGGAGTGAGCTTGGGACTCATTTCCTTTTTAATCTAAGGTCACGTGAATCAGAATCAACTCAAAGGCATTGAGTTTGGTGGTCTTGATAACTTAGGGGTCCTCAAGGAATACCCATAAAACCCATGGCCTTGGAGCTGATTCTGAACCCTGCCGAGCCTGCGGGACAGAGCAGATCTGCCTCTAGGGTTTTCCCTGGCTGCAGTTTACTGAAGCAGATGGCTCTTCGTCTGTCACCTAGGGTACAGCTGGTGGGTTCTGGCCACCGACCTTTAATTAGCAACAGGCTACTTAACTACGGGCCGCGGGTGGTCTGGGAGTGGGACCCCTCCCTCAAAGTCCCTATGAATGGACATCCACTCAGTGGCAGTGACTTTCCATTGAGGGTTGATTCACTGGAGGAGGATGGAATCACATTACAATGTTGGCTGGGAAGAACAGCCCCAGATGGGAAGCTGAATGGCAATGCCCTTTCCCTTGCTGTGCCCGCAGGTTGTTTGGGATGGATCTGAATAGAAAGACGCACAGAGCACTGGCCATGCTTCGAGTGAAGAAACCCGACTTAGACATTGGCTGCTAAGCAGCTCTATCTGCCGGTACCTTTCTGGCTTCCCTTGCAGGACAGAACGGCGGGGGCTGGAGTGCTCCTGGTCCTGAGCCCATTGTGATCACTCCTGATCACCAATCAGGTGTTATGGAGTCAACTCCCCACTCCTGATCACCCCTACACCACTGGCTTTTGTCAGAAGTGGAACGAGGCTGCATTCCCAAGGGGGCTCAGAAGACTCAACCTTTAAAGTTCCACTCAACCATGGTGCCCTTCTCCGAGAATTGTGACCAGTCATAAAAGGCCAACCCACCAGACAGGTTGCCCTCCATTGGGTTCACTCATGCCAACCCTGCCAGCAGACCTGCCCACACGGCATATCCAAGGTCGGATGCAGGAGCAGGGAGGGAGCACTAGAATGGATTGTGATGATGCACGTACACAACTCTTTATAAAAGCGATTGAACTGCGGAAGTGTATGATGTGATTACACCCAAAAAACTACAAAAAGCAAACAAAACTTGACCCAAGAATTGTTGCTTAGGCAGCAATTATATGATGTGGTGGAATAACTTGGAGGCTCTATCAGTCGTGCTTGTGCAACACGTAACGCACAATCAATGGCACTGAATGATACATGCAGAAGGGTGGGCCTGAGGACGTCTCATTAGTATATTTGTCTCCACTGGGGGAAAAATAACTACATGAAAAACGAGTACAAGAATATTCTGGACTGGGATGTGATAACGGTCCAACTCTTCTTGATGTGATACAATGATTGCACTGTAGGACATGTGGACGAAGTGCTATTAAAACATTGATTCCGTTGTGCTTTGAGAGATGACATCTGGCTTGCTCTCTGTTCTCGAACCATCAGACCATGTGCGATCACTGTTATCTGAATTAACAGTTAAAAGCAACCCAGAACCCAGTACTTTGATGGTGCCTGCAAGCAACAATAAACATGAAGAAAATCTGAATCTGGACATGACTGTTATGAAACTATTAAAAAATTGACAGCTCCTTGAAATCTAGTAGTGTCTTCCCTGAGTCCTGAGGGGATTGGGGTTACTAGGTCTCCCCTATTCTTTTCGAAGGGTTTCCAAATACCATTGATTCAGCAGCTGTGGGAATGAACTAGACCCCCAGCACAGCTCCCTTTACTGCACAGGTAGACCCCTTCCACTGACCTGAAGGCCACGAGGACTCAGGTTGATCCTCAGGTGCTCAGATGGCCAGGCCTGCCCCCCCAAACTTGACTTACCAGCGACTTCAGGAGACCTATTTGTTCTCACACATGGATGCTGGCCTCAAGATCCCTTGTCACTTCTGAGACTGACTTGAAGGATTCATTGGCCGGAAGTGCTATCTTAGCTGTTCAGGGACACAAATGAAGGTACATTGGGAAAGTGTTGCTACTCTTTCATCACCAGGATGACTAAACTCCCGTCCTATAACCAGGACGCCAAACCATTGAGAACAGTGAGCCCCACCTGTGGGAAACTAGCAGTCATTCCCACCGATTCTCCCCTAACAGCTGTGCTGCCTTAAAGTGAGCAGTTAACTGTCTCCCTGCAGAGGCAGATCTTCCCTGATTATCTCCTCCCACTGCGGCACCCATCCCCTTATACCTTCCCCCAATACAGGTATTAGGTTTCCTTGCCTATGAGCCCAAGGACTTTACGGTAATTAACCACCCCACCTTGTGACACATTTAACTATTGAAAATGTGTCTTATAGCTACCTGCAAATAACCCAAAAGGACCTCTCATCCTCTCCCTGCCACCTCTCCCTCCTGGACCTAGTGGGGTTGAGGTGAGCATGCTACCATAACATGTGCCTGACTCCACTTTATTCCCTCTCCTCTTTCATTCCTTTTACATATTCAATTGTGCCTGCTGGGGTGTGGATTTGTTAGGGGCTGGCTACCCTGACAGGGTCAGGTTACCTCAAAACCCTGTTGGAGGGGAGAGGGGGGTGCAGCAACTCTATAGTCCACCCTAGTGGCTGTTAAGATAACACTAAAAGGTCTTTGGGAACCATGCTGCCTGGCCACGTAGTCACTTTATAGAAAAGTTGGATAAGTGGGAGATCCCAATTGCACAATAGTGAGTCCTAAAAACCGCTGAGCACCCAGCTGATGCAGGTCAAGCATTGGGCTAATGCAGGCTCAGGCACTTCCAGCCACACCTGAGTGTCTTGAGGAGCCGATCAAGCCAATAGGGGTAGTTTTATCCTGGCCAATTAGGTCCCTGAGTGGGTTTTGGTTCTTGATGGAAAGAACTGGAAAATGTCACTTGTGTAGAGAACTTTCCCAGGGTCAACAATCTAGACTGGAAGGCCTTTAAAGAAGATACATTTTTGAAGAATCACATAGGATGACTTAAGTCACTTTTATGGGGGAAGGGGGTCCTAACACCATGTTTCTTACACAAGAAAGTCAGACTATCCTGTGTTTCTTGGAAAGGTGGGTTTTTATTTTAAACTAAAATGTATTTGTAGCACAAATTATTCAGGTTAATAGAATGTTGCATTAACAGAATGACTAGCAGACCCTGGAGTTAGGGTTCGTTGTCCAGGGCACTGGGGAAGCATCTTTGGAAGGCGACCTCACCACAGGGATGGTGTCTTGTCTTCTGTTGGGAGGCAGCACACACCATCAGCACGCCATCCCAAGAACACTTTCCAGGAAGCCACCACAGGAGTGCCTGCCACTGGATGAGCAATGTCAACCTTGGTCCGGGTGGTGGGGAAGCTGGATAGAAAGGTCAGACTGGAAGAAGCACACCAGCCTATGCGACCACGAGGTGTCGAAGGGATCAGGTGTAAGGCATCATCAGAACAAAAAATC